TCAGCAGCGGCTGAATCTGGATGCCAGTTCCGACTTACATACAGATTCAACTTAAGAACAAACCTACAATCCCTATCTTGTACGTAACCCGGGGACTGCCTGTAATGGAATTTATCTCTACTTAATCAGCCTATATTAGGTGTGGTGACTCTGTTTTTGTTTTAAGACAGGTATTGATTGAATTCAATCACTAACATGTCCCACTTGAAGTTTCAGTTTCTGAAATAGTGATGGTTATTCTGAAACAGTAAAATCAATTTAACTTGGATTCTTATAGATGACTGAGAGGGTAAGTATTGGGATCATTTCCAGCTTGCTGATTCAAGACTAGCAAGTGAAATTATTACGATCAAATGGCTGTTAAAAGGTCTTTTAAATTAATTAATTGTGTTGGTCCAATTCCTAGAGGACAAGTGTCCTTATCACGAAAATTCATATTCTATTTAATTTTGCTCTTCTTAGCAGTGATATCAATGACAGAAGAAAATGGAGCCTTTAAATCAGATCGAGGATGCTGAGAATAACAAAAATATCTAGGAAGATAGAACTACCATATAAAGGACTATCCAGAACAGCATTTGAAGCAGTGTTCCCTCTAAATTGAATGGCAGCACAGCTTCACAGGTGACTAATCAGTCCTGCCTAGTCAGAGGCTCAGGGGTCCTTGCAAGGAGCTGCCTGACTGGGTGGGGATGATTAATCACCTGTGAAGCTGTGCTGTTGCCCAGCTTAGAGGGAACACTGATTTGAAGTATTCTGGTTTGGGCAGTGCGGTGATTCTTTTGGGCTCATTTAATGAAGAAACATGAAATTTCAGTGATTATTACATAGTGGCTGTCCCAGAGAATGAAGTTTCATGATTTTAAAAGGACAACAAAATTGAACATGTTTTCCAGCAAAATTGTTTAACCTTATCACATGGGGAACTGCTTAGTGGAAAATATTGTCCCACACAAATGGAAAAAATATTGAAAGAAAATGGAAGTCTGGAAGAAATTGTTTCCTTTTGCATCAGAAATCATTAGCTGGTACAACTAATGGCTAGAAATAACTTTTCTGTAAGTCAGGAAAAAAATTTATTTTCAGTCAGTATAAAAAAAAAAGCCCATCAGATATCTTGTAGTGGTATCTAACTTTCTAGTTAGTGATAAACTTCTAGTATGTTGTTGAAGCAATGATTTTGTACAAAGTTTAATTTCAAATTGTTGCGGTTTTAATTTAACCTCTTACTTCTCTGTACCCATGTTAAATATGTTAAATATGAATCACAAAACAAAATTACTTATTCAAGATTTTGTTCTATTCTTAAATTGACTGTAATATTGAAATGAACACTTAAAGTTTTATTTATTTACATTTTAAATAAATTTTTGCAGATAGACTCTTTTCAGTCCATTCACTATCTGATCTTTCTCTAAACCAGTGGTCTCCACAAGATCACTTGTTCAGTTTAAGTACGATGTAAGATTTACCTCAAACCCAAATACCTTTGCCCCACTTCCTTCCCCTCTCTTCTTTGAGTCCCTGCCCCTGCTCCACCCTTTCTCTGAGGCCTCACCCTGCTCACTCCATCTTTCCTCCCCCATCCTCATTCACTTTTATCAGGCTGGGGTAGGGGGTTGTGGTACGGACTCTGGTCTGGGTCAAGGGATTTGGAGGGGCTCCGGGCTTAGTCCAGGGTGTGGGGGATTGGGGTCCAGGAAGGGTTTCAGGGTGCAAGCTTTGGGGAAGGAGTTTGGGTGCAGGGGGACTCATGTCTGGGGCAGGAGGCTGGGTGTAGGAGAAGGTTCAGGGCTAGGACAGGTTCAGGAAGCAGGCTTTGGCTGGACACCCTTTAAATGAGACTGCTTCCTGTACTGGAGCAGTGGAGTTAAAGCAGCCTTACTCCTACTCTGGCACCATTCCTAAAAGCAGCTGTCATGTACAGCAATGGCTTCATAGCACCATGTGTTGCCCTTCATCTCAGGTACTGAGCCCACAGCTTTTACTGGGCATGGTTCCCCGTTATTTATCAATGGAAGCAGCAGGGGTGATGTCTGTAGGCAAGGACAGCATGTGGAGACCAACTGCTCTGCCTTTCTCAGGGGCTGCAGGGACATGCCAGCCACTTCCAGGAGCAGCAATTACCATCGGTATAATTTCTCCAGCCATGACAGGTTAGGCATTTTAGAACTCACTGCTCAAAGAATTACATTTAAGCATAAGAGAAATGAAAACTAAGAAATGCACAAATCAGACAAAAACCAAAAATAACCCACTTTGCAAGCAGACACAGATTTGCATTGCCAAACTCCCTCCATCCACTTCTTTCTGTGTGGAGATGGGGTACGGGAGAGGTGGGACACCCTGACATCAGCATTCTCCCAAGGAGGCAGCTCAAAAGCGGAGGGCAGGAGCAGCACAACAATGGGTGGTGGGGCAACTGAAGCGCCAGTGCTTGATAGCTTCCTGGCCAAACCAGTCAGCATCACCTGTCAGAGGCTCCAACATCTCCTGGTAGGTCCCAATCTACAGATTGGTAACCACTGGTCTAGACTCTCCTCTTGAATCATTCTCCCTAATATCCTTTATAGATGTATGGGAGATGAATCCAGAAGAATGCTTCCAGTCAGGTTGGATTTGATTTAAATCAAATGTATTTAAATCACTAGTCAGGAAGACTTGATTTAATTATAGTTCTTCGAGTGATTGCTCATGTCCATTCAAACTAGGTGCATGCACACTGCGTGCATGGTTTCCGGAGCATTTTTTCCCCAGCGGTACCCGTTGGGCTGGCAGGTCGCCCCCTGGAGTGGCGCCGCTATAGCAGAGCATAAGTACCCTGCTGGCTCTCCCCCTCCCAGAGCCCCGGCTGGCACTGGTAGAGTCGAAGGACCGTCCGTCGCTGCTGGCCGCGGTGGTACGAGGCCAGACTGTGCCGGTACTGGTGCAGGTGGTAGTGATGGCTCCAAGACTTGGCTGTCGGGGCTCCGGTGCTGTGGTCGTTGCCACAGGCACCGGCCTTGTTGGCTCAGCAGGCGTCGTCCATGCCGGCGCTGCAAGCCTTCCCGCCGACGCACGCACTGCCGGTACCGTACTTGCCGGCACCTCAGATAATGGTTCTTCCGGCACCACAGGCACCAGCCTTGCTGGCACTGCATGGCCCGGTGCCGCAGCCTCCCTCCCTGCAGCCCCGCCCCCACACAGGGATGCCAGAGTTGATGGCGCGATTCCGCCCTGGGGCAATGCAGGATCAGCCCTCATCGGCACCTCCGTAGTCGGCGTTGTCGGCCTGGCACTGATCGCGTTCCTGGCACCGGGCGGTACCGTTAAGTTTTGAACAAACGTGGCCACCTCAGGCCCAGCAGCCCTGGCCTTTTTGGACACCCTGAGCCTATCACCAATGGCAGGAGTCACTCCTGCATGATGGGTCTGTTAGTGGCTCGTGGCAGAGGTCCACATCCTCGGCCTCCTTGTCCAGAGCTCGTCCTTCACCTAAAGGGGCTAGCCCCAAGTGCCACCTGAATCTGGGGGACTGGGCAACAGGGACCCAGCAGCAAACCAGCCCCCATGCAGGAGGCTGTGGAGCAGCCACTTCTGAGTCGTGAGTCGACAGCTTCATCGTCCCCGGACAAGACCCTGGCTGATCTGGCCCCAGCTATGGACGCTAGATCCCACCAGGAACTGCTGCGCCGGCTTGCTGCAAATCTTGGGGTACCGGTACATCTGGTGACCGAGGAGTCAGATCCGATGGTGGACATACTTATAGATGATGCTCCGGCAAAGTTGGCACTGCCACTAAATAAGACAGTGGCAAAAATCACCAACACGTTGTGGCAGATGCTGGCCTCTATCTCCTGAACTCTCAAGAGGATAGAGAGAAGGTATTATGTCCCACAGTCGGGGCATGAGCACCTATACTCACGCCCGGTACCAGGGTCTATGGTGATCCAGGCAGCCACCCAAAAGCAGGGGCAGAGGCAACTGGGCCCATCCCCTAAAGCGAAAGACCTTAAGTTCATGGACCTGATGGGGCATAAGGTCTATGTGATGGGGGAAGAGAGGAGGTGCAACTGCGTATCGCTAACCAGCAGGCCATGCTCAGTCGCTATGCCTACAACA